GGCATTTTGTGCCTTTATAGTTACGGCAGGCAGTAATATTATCGAAAGTAGAAAAATTGATTGTCGCATAAAAAGGTTTTAATTGGTTATTCTGCCGACTGCAGGCCGTACTCATTTTTTTTGATGATCTTACCATGCTGATCCTTGACAAGTACGATACGTCCCAACTGGTCATACTCATAGGAGACCAACATCCCCTTCACATCGCACTTAGACGTTACTCCCACCATCGGTTTATAGGTGTAAGTTTCCATCTGACCTGATACAGGGTACAACCGAAGATCGTCCAGAAACCCAGTGCCAGAAATATCGACCCCGGAAGAAATTGTTATCGTATGCTCCATATAGGTCCAGCCCCTCACCGTATTTCCTGTCTTCACAGAAGTGGTTCCGGAGACCGTAATACTGTTGCCAGGCCCTGAACCCGTTGGTTGGAACCAATAAGAAACGATGTACTGCCCAGGTATAAGCCCTGACCTTGTAATGTTGTTTCCCGAACCCAGAAGGAAACTTTGCTGGCCTGAGAATGCAGCGATTGAAATCAAGGGAGGTGTTCCCATTGGAGGGAGGTTCCAATACCCATTGTCGTCCATTCGCTCAAAGCTGGTAAATGCGATCTGGTCGATACCGGCATTGTTGACGATTGCCGTGGAATAGGCACCCTTATATCCATAGATCACACTGTACTTTTTCCCGCCCGTCTTGGTAGTCTGGAGCAGGTTCCCGTATCGGTCATAGGCGTCGTAACTTTCCTGAAGTTTGTAAAGCGGAGAAGATACCACGTCGCAACCATTGGTGGCTATGGTCACCGGACTAAATCCGCTCAACGGAATTTCCGTTTCAATGGCGTATTTGTACTTTGGATAAGGCTTATCATCCCAGTAAAGTACCAAGGCCGCTTCCGTAACTTTTTCGGTGTTTGTTCCATTTTTCTTAAGGATGGTATAGGTTTCTGCTGTAGCATTCAGCATATGCCGGCTCTGTATCAGATGATAGCCTTTGACCCCTTCCAATGTAAAAGAGCCGTTAACACAGGATGGAGGTATGGTTACGTCGTTGACAAAAACTGTTCTATGGGTGAGTTCATCACCATTACTGGTTTTGCTTTTCTGCGAGTTAACAAGTCCGTCGTTAT